AATTTCAATCCATAGCACTGCCTGCCATGTCATATGTAATGTTGACCACTCCCAACATGTGATTGGTTAGATAGCTGTGACCATCCTTATGGACTGAATATACAGGACCTATACAAAAGCTTAAACACACGTACAAACAGATTCAAGAACAGTTTGTTATTAGACTTCTGAATGGACCTCTCAAATTTTAAATTTAATGTTGATCTCGCTCTTAGTGCACCTTCTCTGCAGCCATAACATTGCATTCCTCGCTCTGTTTCATTACCCTAATGCACTTTGAATGGTATGATCTGCCTGTACTGCGTGCAAAACAAAACATTTTACTTACTACATGTGGCAATAATAAATCAAATCGAATTAAGCCTACTTAGTCTAACTGAATTGAGGGGAAACCAGCGGGTAGTCTGATGAGAAGGGGCTCTTGTTTTAAACAAGATATGTTTTGTTGCATGATAGCAACTATGTACAAGCAGCATTAGAAAGATAGACATTTCATTTCATTTTTGTTTATTCATTCACGGGATGCACTCATTGCTGGCCAGGCCAGCATTCATTGCCCAGAGGACAGCTAAGAGTCTGGGTCTGGAGTCACATGTAGGCCATACCAGGCAAGGATGGCAGTTTCCCTCCCTAAAGGGCATTAGTGAAACAGATGGGTTTTTCTGACAATCAGCAATGGATTCATGGCCATCAATGGACTCTTTTAATTCCAGATTTTTTAAAATTGAATTTAAACTCCCTACCATCTGCTATGGCATGATTTGTACCTGGGTCTCCAGATTAACAGTCCAGTGGTCAAACCACTAAGCCATCGTCTTCCGTCTGTTCTGTTCTATCAGATGTTCTGCCTTTCTCCATTTTCAAGTCCTTATGTTATCCTCAGATTGGGTGAAGCTAATGCAGTTTCCAGCATTAGCACTTCCAGAACCCTTACCTTCCAAAACAGCTCGATGTCTAAAATGAGTTTGACCAAGATCTTATTGTGACCAGGGTATCAGCCTCCAGCCAGATATAGCTGGCTGTTGGAATGCTCCTGTCTTCTGGGATTAAGGCATTTGTCATGCTTTAGCGAATTTTGTTTATCAGCGTTAAAATATATCATTTTTGGTCCTGCAGTTTGATAAACAGCACAAGTTCAAACTCTACTATAGACTTGAGTACATGATCTAGGCTGAAATGCAGTGTTATACAGAGGGAGTGCTGCACTATCAGATTGCCATCTATTGGATGAGATATTAAGTTGACTGCCCAATCAGCTGGATGTAAAAGACCCAGAGGCTCTGTTCAAAGGAGAGAAGGGAAACCCCAGAGTTCATAGAATCCCTACAGTGTGGAAACAGGCCATTCAGCCCAACTCTGACTGTCCGAAGAGCATCCCTCCCTGATCCACCCTCCGACCCTACCCTTGTACCCTGCATTTCCCATGGCTAACCCACCCAGCCTGCACATCCATGGACGCTAAGGGAAACTTAGCATGGAGGAAATCAGAGCGCCTGGTGGAAACCCACGCAGACACAGAGAGAATGTGCAAACTCCCCACAGTCACCAAGGGTAAAATCAAACCCAGGTCACTCGCGCTGTGAGGCAGCAGTGCTAACCACTGAGCCACTGTGCTGTCCTGGGCCAATGTTTCTGTCTCAACAAAAATTGATTGCCTGGTCATCCATTTATTTCCCAAGAGTTTTGCTTTCAGAAAATTGGCTGCGGTACTAATCTATATAAAAGCAGTGACTGGCATTTCAAAAGGCAATCATTCAGTTGTGAAGCACTTCAAAATATCCTGATGATGTGAGAAAGCAATGTAACTGTAAATTTCCTTTTGAAATATTTTATACCATGTTTAATGTCTTTCTGCATTGTTGGTAATGAAGCAATTTAATCTAATCTTACTCTTCAAGATGCACGTCTGTACTGAACATTTGGTATAAACGTAAGTTCAACCTCAACTAGAGTATTGCATCTAGATCTGGACATCATGCTTTAAGAGGAATCTGAAGGCAGTAGAGAAGGGATTTGTAAGATGTTCCAGGGATGAGGAACTTCTGTGTTTTTTTTTTCCCTTTGTTCATTCATGGGATGAGGGCATTGCTGGCTAGGCAGTATTTATTACCCATCCCTAATTGCCCAGAGGGTAGTTAAGAGTCAGCCACATTGCTGTGGGTCTGGAGTCACATGTAGGCCAGACCAGGTAAGGATGGCAGTTTGGCAGTTTCCTTCCCTAAAGGACATTAGTGAACCAGATGGGTTTTTCCTGACAATCGACAGTGGGTTCATGGTCATCATTAGACTCTTAGTTCCAGATATTCATTGGATTCAAATTCCACCATCTGCTGTGGTGAGATTTGAACCCAGATTCCCAGAACAATACCTGGGTCTCTGGATTAACAGTCCAGCGATAATACCACTAGGCCATTCCCTCCCCACACTTCTGTTATGTAGATAGATTGGAGAAGTTGAGTTGAAATGTAATTTAATAAAGGGGATTGGACTGAGTAGATGGGGAGGGGGGAAAATTGTTCCCATTGGTGGATTGATCAAGAACCAAAGGGCACATATTGCAAGGCAATTGGTAACAGAAGCAATGCTGGCATGAGGAGAAATGTTTCCATCCAGTGAGTGGTCATATTGAGGCCGTGCTGCCTGAGATGCACTGAGGGAGGAAGGGTCAACTGAAAAAGGAATTTAACCTCTTTCTGAAAAAAAAGGAGAAAGGCAAGGGAGCGGCATTCCGTGTATTGCTCCTTCAGAGAACCAGCATGGACATGACAGGCTGAATGGCCTGGTGCCATTGTTGTGGAAACTGTCATCCTTTTACATCCAATACATTTCAGCTTGGATATTGATTTGTATTTCTCCTAACTCTTAAAATTCGCTGGTGTTGTGAGACAAACAATTTTTGAATATGTATTGTTGCTCGGTTACCGCCCTCAACAATACTTATTGGCTCAGCACAAAGAGGAAAAGGTCTAGTCTGTATCAGTTAACCACCAACTTTATCAGTTTAGTTAAGACAGACAGATAATTGGTACCGTTTGGTTAAGAAAAGGTTAAAAGCAGGCAAGCAATTCATACAAGGCTAACATCTTTGTGCGCACTCACTAGTTTCTCTGACATTCTGAACAGTCAAAGAATTTAAAAGCTCATCCCCAAGGATAGGAGCTCATTCTGCCTAGGCCATTTCCTTACATACTCGGTGTAATTTCCACGCTTCAAAGCTAGGGTCCTCCACTTCGGCAAAGGTTGATCTCCCAGATTTTTGCTGCTCACATGTCCAAAATCCTTCATTTTTATCCTGTTTCCTCGCCTTCCCGAACTGCGCTGTCTTTTCCTCGTTGGTTCAAGTTCACCTGGCGATCCTGCGTCTTTTCGTGATCGGCTCGCCCAAGGACACCGTTAGGATTACCTCATTACTCTTCCACCAAATAAGGTTTTCTACCTTGTGTCATCCCTCTGACCTGACCTGGTTCAATCTGGTTCCAGCCAGCACAAGGCAGTGGCTGTGGTTCGGGTAACTTGAGCTCACAAGCTGCTGGTTTTATGTGTGAATAGCCCCCGGACAACAATATGGAAATTCCGTCAGTACATTTCTAAGTAGGATATTTACCAAGGATACAGTTGATCTAAAATGCTAAAGCAAGGAATGATGAGAGGACGACCAATGGTTATAATCCTGACACGTTGAGCTGTCAGTCCTTTCCATCTGGTGAGGACTGTACAAGGCTTTATTTGCTGGGAAATGAACAGTTCGGTTTAAATCCTGTCTCTGCCACCAACACACTTGGTTAGCGGTGACACATTCTTGACCCACTCCTGCCACTGGGTCATATGGTGGGTTCAAGTCCCTCTCTAGAGATTTGAACACAAAACTTGTGGTTGGTGCAGCAAGACTTAGGGAGTACTGTAAGGTGAGATGTCACTTGGAATTCTTATCTGTCTACTCAGGTGGATGTAGAAGATGAGGTTGGTTGGCTCGCCGAGCTGGTTCGTTGTTGTTCTGCAGACGTTTCATTACCCTGCTGGGTAACATCATCAGCACAGCCTCCAATGAAGCGTCGGTGTGTTTTCCCACCTAGTTTTTAAACTCTGGAGTCTGTTGTGCTGGGTTACCTCACTTCCGGTTTCCCTTTGTAGTGGAGTGTATATGGGGTCGAGTTCTATGTGTTTACTGATGTTCAATAAACACATAGAACTCGACCCCATCAATAAACACATAGAACTCGACCCCATCAATAAACACATAAAACTCGACCCCATCAATAAACACATTGAACTTGACCCCATATACATTCCACTACGAAGGAAAACCGGAAATGAGGCAATCCAGCTCGACGGACTCCAGAGTTTAAAAACCAGGCGGGAAAACACACCGGCGCTTCATCGGAGGCTGCGCTGATGATGTTACCCAGCAGGATAATGAAACGTCTGCGGAACAACGAACCAGCTTGGCGAGCCAACCAACCTCAACACCCACAACCCGAGCTACAAATCTACTCCAAAACTTTAGAGGATGTAGAAGATCCCATAACATTTACTTGTAGAAGATCAGAGGATTATTCCTGGTCTTCTTACCAATACCTATCCCTTAATTAACATCACCAAAAATAATTCATCTGTACATTATCATATTACTGTTTGTGGGATCTTGCTGTGTGCAAATTGGCTGCTGTATCCCTTCCATTAGAACAGTAAATGCACTCCAAAAGTATTTCATTGGCTGTAAAATGCTCTGGGAAGTCCTGGGGTTTTGAAAGTTGTTTTATAAATACAAGTCTTTCCTGAATGAGCTGACACACTGTGCCAATAGACATTATGCACATTGAGTAAGGCTTAGAAATTCCCACAAGTGGAAGGGATTCGCAGAAAGTAATACATTTCCAGGCACCGCTTAGTGGTTGAATCAGATGTGGCAATGGTTGTTGTTCTGAGTGCAGGTCATCTTCGTGCCTGCTTTGAAAGTGAAGAGTAAACTCAATTTTGCAATTTGTCTTTTGTTCCCACAGCTGTTAACTGGTGTTTGGGTGGTTTTGCTAAGCTGGGTTATTACACTGGGTCGGTAACATACACTGTGACCGGGGAAGAGTGCCTGAAGTGGACCGAATTCCCAGACTATGTCCAGCAGTATCCCAACAAGGGACTTGGCGATCACAACTTCTGCCGTAACCCTGATGGTGAACCAGTTCCATGGTGTTTTTACAGGAAGAGAACGGGGTCCATCAGCTGGTCAGAATGTGACTGCAATCATGGTAAACGGGTTTACGTTGTTCTTGACATGCATTGCAACCACTTAAATGGTTTGAGCAATTTCTGTGAGACTGTATAATGCTAATTTGGGCAAAACAGGAAATTAACGTGAAAAGGGGCAGCCAGCTCTAGGATCCACAGTTCTCCACATAGGAACTTGTCAGGCAAGGGAGGTGAAAGAGGGCTCCAAGTACTCTTGATGAAGAAGTTAAAATCCCCAGACATGTTCCATGAATAAATGCTACTTGCCTTAATGATGAGGTAGAGAAGGAATGGAAACTAACCAAATCCCACTTTGCAGATCCTACGACTGTGTGGGATATCCTGCTCCTCGCACCCAAATGTCTGTGGGTCAGAACTTTTGACCCCATAAGACCATAAGAAGTAGGAACAAGAGTAGGCCGTTCAGCCCCTCATGCCTGTTCCACCATTCAATAGGATCATGGCTGAACCAACATTCCTCACGCCCACTCTCCTGACCTCTCCCCATAACCCTTGATTCCCCAACTGATCAAGAATCTGTCTCAACCTTAAATATACATAAGGACTCTGCCCCCACAGCTGTCTGTGGCAAGGAGTCTGAAAAATTCACAACCCTCTGAGAGAAGAAATGCTCCCCTATCTCAGTCTTTATTGGTGCCCCTTTATTCTGAGACCATGCCCTCTGCTCCTAGACTCTCCCACGAGGGGAAACAGCCTCTCAGCATTTACGCTAGCAAGTCCCTTAAGACCCTTACATGTTTCAATGAGATCACCTCTCACTTTTCTAAACTCCAGTTAGTAGAGTCCCAATTTGTTTAATATTTGCTCAGAAGCCAATCCCTCAATACTGTGGATCATCTTGTGGACATTTTCTGAACTGCCTCCAGTACAATAATAGCTCTTCTTATATAAAGGTACCGAAACTGCTCCCAGCACTCTGGATGTGACCTCACCAGCACCTTGTACAGTCGCAGTAAGACTTTCCTACTCTTATACTCCAACCCTTTTGAAATAAGGGCCAACATTCCATTAGCCCCCCTGATTCCCTGCTGCACCTGTGTGCTAGCTTTCTGTGTTTTGTGCACAAGTATTTCCAAGTCCCTTTGTGTTGCAGCTTTCGACAGTTTTTCTCCATTTAAACAATACTCCATTCTTTTGTTCTACCTTCCAAAATAAAGAACTTCTCATTTTCCCACATTATACTCCATTTGCCAATGTTTTGCCTACTTAATTAACCTATAATTGTCTTTGTCAACTGTTTGCATCCTCCTCACAGATTGCCTTTCCACCTATTTTAGTGTTGTCGGTAAATTTGGCTGCAGTACATTTGCTTCCTTCCTCCAAGTCATTTACACACGTTGTAAACAGTTGCAGTCTAGCACTGATTCCCATGGAACCTCGTAGGGTATCGGTCACTGACCTGACAAAGAACCCCTTATCCCCACTTGCTGTTTCCTGCCTATGAGGCCATTCTCTATCCACACCAATATACCTTCAATACAATGGACTCTTATGGCAACGTTTTGTGAGGTACCTTGTTAAACTCTTTTTGAAAATCCAACCATAACACGTCTACTGGTTCCTCTCTATCCACTCTGTTTGAGACTTCCTTGAAAGACTCTAATAAAATAATTGGACATGATTTCTTTTACATAAAGCTGTACTGGCTCTGCTTAATTAAATGACCTATAAAAGTGTATAATATACATTAAATTACATATTTTTGAATAATTTCACACTTCTCTGTTAAATTTCACTCTTGCTCATCGTAAGGGTGTGTAGTCTGAAGGTTCTCCACTCACTTGGTTTCAGATGCTTTCTTCAAACAAGGATTCATTTGCATCACACAAATGCCAGGCAATGACCATCTTCAACTAGCAAAAAAAAACTAAATATGGTCCCTTGATATTCAGAGGCTAGGAATTCTGCTGTGAATAACTCACCGCTTAACTCCCTAGAGCCTGTCCACCATCTATAAGGCGCAATTCAAGAGTGCGATGGAATACTCCCCACTTGCCTGGATGGGTGCGGCTCCAACAACACTCAAGAAGCTTGACACTATCCAGGACAAAGTAACCCACTTGACTGGCACCACATGTACATACACTCACTGCCTTTACTCAGTCACAGCAGTGCGTACCAGAGGCACTGTGGAAATTTACCAGAGATCATTTGACATCATCTTCCAACCCACTTCCATCTGGAAGGATAAAGGCAGCAGACACATGGGAACACCACAGCCTGCAAGTTCCCCTTCAAGCCATTCACCATCCTGACTTGGGAAATATATCACCATTCCTTCAGTGTTGCTGGGTCAAAATCCGCAAACTCTCTTCCAATAGCAATGTGGGTCTACCTACACCAAATGACCTGCAGCAGTTCAAGAAGGCAGCTCACTGCCATCTCTTCTCAAGGGCAACTGGAGATGGGCAATAAATGAGGGCACAGCTAGCGATGCCCACATCTCATGAGTGAATAACAAAAAATAGGTAGCATATTCCTCACAGGACATTTCTGGAAGCCAGTTGAACTGAACCCATTCACTGCTCCCTGATCAAGAGATGATAATTTTAACACCTCTTGCTATCCACCTTGCTGAGACCAGCTGCCCCAGTATAGTACAAGAATCAAACTTGCATGCCCTAAACTAAACTGGTCACCTACTCCAATTCCTTAATAAGCCAAGGTCAGAAGTCACACGACACCAGGTTATAGTCCAACAGGTTTATTTGAAATCACGAGCTTCACTGATGAAGGAGCAGTGCTCTGAAAGCTTGTGATTTCAAATAAACCTGTTGGACCATAACCTGGTGTCATGTGACTTCTGACTTTGTCCACTCCAATCCAACACCGGCACCTCCACATCATTAATAAGCCAAGATACTGGAGATTTATTGATCCCTAGCCTCGGGTAATCCTCTCTCACCCTAAATGGATTTAATGAATGTTAACAAATCTTTCAAGAAAGCACTTGGAAACCAATAAGAGATTTACAGAGCAATTAAATTTTGAGTTGAATTTGATTTTCCTGGTCAGCCTGGGTGAATAATGTAGCCCACTTGAGGCTTTGCCATTGAGCATTATCATTCATAAGATTTACCAGAGAACCACAGAGGTGTTACAGTGCAGAAGGTGGCCAATCTACCCATAATAGTGAGCAATCCGATACCATTCTCCCACCTTTTTCTCATACCCTTACACAGTGTTGTTAAATGATCACCCAGTGCCTTTTTGAATGCCTTGACTGAACCTGACTCCTCCCCACTACCAGGCAGTGCTTTCCAGACACGAACCACTTGTTTTGCGAAGTAGCTGTTTTCTCATCTCACACTTGCTTTTTTAGTAAATCACTTTATATCAGAGCCCTCTCTGTTCTTGATCTCTTTCTCGCGTGGGAACAGTTTCTCCCAATCTGATCTGCCCAGTCGCCTCGCAATTTTGGAAGCCTCTTCCCAAAATTACTAACAGGCTTATTTTTGTTAATTCGGCCTAAATTTCAGGTACACTGAGCGCTGCAGTGACTGCATTTACCTAGCGCTGGTAATAATGCATCAGTAACTAGAGGCCACCTGCTCAAAGTCACTGGAGTGACGCTGCATTGGTGCTCAAGTTAGTTAGCATGAGGAAATTCGCAATGTGGTCCATAAATGCAGGGTATCCAGTAATGCAAGACCAAAATTTGGCATGTTAGAACCTGTGCGGTGGTGAATTAAGATGCTCGAGGAGAATTCTAGCAATTGCTTAGGTGTTTTAGACACTCTGCTTTCAAACACTTACAAGGACTGGTTCAAAGTATTTTTGAGGAATGTAATATGCACAGATTTATTTTGATGAAGGAATAATTGTTCCTTAAAGGACAAAAGGCTTTTCATAATTTTCCTGGCTCTTTAAGGTGCCATCCGACTGAGTGGAGGAGCTGGTCAACATGAGGGAAGGGTGGAGTTACTGTACAATGGACAATGGGGCACTGTCTGTGACAAGACCTGGGATGATAGAGATGCCAGTGTGGTTTGTCGTCAGCTAAGCTTAAGGTATGAATGTTGGAGCGATACATCCAGCAATTATTCTGAATGTAGTCGTTATGGTTGTTACCAAGGTTTTATCTTGGCACCATGCTGCTCAGTGTTTAATCACTTTACACCCCCAGTGATTTCATTCCATCACAGCAGGAATTATTCGCAAAAGGCTTACAACCATTTCATTGCCGGTTAGTTGAGGTGGTGTTGGATTTGTCCCGTTAACTCTTCCATGGTTTTAAATGACAAAGGCATTTTTGAAGTTAGGTGAACATAGCGGCATAGGGAACTGACCTTGTACAGCATCAGCCAAGCAACAGCAAGAAAGGAAGTTGTTCATTGTACATTACCAGAGCAGAAGAGCTGAGGACTGGGAACAGGGCTACCTTTTGGGGCAAAGATATGGGACAGCATGAGCAGATCTTAGAAAGGGAGAAACACAAATATTTTACCTCGACCTTTCCTCCCAGAGGGCCCTAAATCTTCGTAACAGTGGCTGGATTCTAGATAAATAAGGAGGTGAAAGGCTTCCAGGATTAGGCAGGAATGTGGAGTTGCAGTTGCAGTCAGCTTAACCATGATCTCATTAAATGGTGAAGCAGGCTCAAGGGGCTGAATGGCCTCCTGCTGTGATCATACATTTAAAATCCAGACTGAGTGTAATTGCATCAGAAGGAAGAAAAGGAGAATTTATTTAACTTGGCAGGTTGTTACATTCTGGAGTGCCTTTAAGGCTTGGCGGAAACATTAAATAACAACTCTCATGCGGGAGTTGGGTTGTTTTATTTCACTCATGGGATGTGGGCTTCTCTGGCTAGGTCGGCATTTGCACCTTATCCCTAAATGCCCAGAGGGCAGTTAGGTGGCAACCATATTGCTGTGAATGGAGTCACATGTAGGCTAGACTAGGTAATGTTGACAGAGTTCCATCCCGAAAGGACATTAGTGAACCAGATGGGTTTTTCTGACAATTGACAATGGATTTATGGTCATTAGTAGACTCTTAATTCCAGATTCTTTATTGAATTCAAATTCCACCATCTGCCTTGGTGGGATTTGAATCTGGGTCCCCACAACATAGTCTAGTGATAATACCACTAGGCCATTTACTCAGATAAGGAAAATCTTATGTAGGGCTGTGGGGAAAGAGCTGGGATGAAAGTCACATGGGATATCTCACAAGCACATGTTCGGGTGAGTGCTCTCTCTTTCATACTGTGGGATTCTATGATGCACTAACTCTAATGGTGAAACTGTGTGGAGTATTGATGTCTGCAGTTAATCTCAATACTGAGCCCCCTCCTGTATATTCCAATGACACACAGGACCCATTCCCTCCCATCTGCTTTCTCCGCCGTCTAACGGTTGGAGGTCTCCGCTGAGGTTTGTGAATGCTGTGGGCCCCTCGGAGAAAGTTTGTTCACGTCCATGTTCACAAACGTACCTGTAACCTACACTGGATAGCTAAGCTAGTACCACACTCAAAGGCCTGGAAGCTATGGAATCACACTTCACACCAAAACTGGAATCTTTCATCTTGACAATGATTAGAAAATGGTTTGCCCAGTGAAACAATGATGCTGTGTATGTACTGAAGGGCTCAGCTGGCAACACCTCTTATCTCTGACCCATAAGATTGTGGTTTCAGGTCCCACTACAGGACTCAAGCACAAACATGAAAGGTAACAATCCAGTGAAAAGTTATGGTAATTTCAAGTACCTCAGTGTTTGACTAGGACAGCCTGGCTTTTCATTAAGTGTCCTGACAACTGCCTACAGTTAGTTCAAGTGCCCTGATTTTGACCTTGTCCTATTTGGGAATGGGTTGTGGGTGAAGGAGGGGAAGAAAATCTGCGTGAGATTTCCTCCTTCTTCCTGTCGGCCTCCATCACATTACAGCAAATTGCATTGCTTCACCTACAATGAAATCTGGACTCCTCCCCTTTGACATTTCCAAGAGAGTTGCCGTGATCTTTTTGGCACCAGAGGCTCGCTGCTGATGAAGCCTTTTAAATGATCATAGCGATCGATGTAATTTGCTCATTCATTTCAGAGGGCACTTAACGGTCAATCACAATGCAGTGGGTCTGGAGTAATATGTAAACCAGACCAGGTAAGGATGACAGTTTCCTTCCCTGAAGGACATTAATGAACCAGATGGGTTTCTCCAACAATCAGCTGTGGTCTCATCATTAGCTTTAGACTCCTATTTCACTTCTATTGAAGTCAAATTCCACCATCTGCCATGGTGAGATCTGAACCTGAAACATTAGCTGAGTTTCTATATTAATAGCCTAGCAATAATACCACTAGCTTCTCTTGGAAGGAACATGCCCACCCTGCAAGTTCTCTTGGAAATATATTGATGTTCATTCAGTTTCCTTCAGTGTCGCTGGGTTAAAATCCTGGAACTCCCTCGCTAACAGCACGGGTAGCGGTACCTATGCCAAATGGACTGCAGCGATTCAAGAAGGCAGCTCACCACCACCATCTCAAGGGCAACTAAGAATGGGCAATAAATGCTGACCCAACCAGTGACACTGATGTCCATCGAACGAATCAACAGAAAAGGGTTGCCAACTCTGGCTGGACATACCCTGGGAGATGACCTCCAACCTTTCTCTGCCCATCCTCTAGGCTCCTGCCTGTAGTCTGCTCAAAGTGTCAATCATCCTGGAGCCCACTTGCTCATTGTTTCTCAGTGCTGACTTTTGCAAACCTGGTTGCCCTAGTTATTTCAACTGTTCATTTTAAATACGGGGTGGGATCGCGTTACAAAGGTCTATTAACAGTCTGAAGGAATAGGTAATGAAGGTGGGTGAATGGAGCTTGTCACAGATCGGCATGTGATCTCATGAAAATGACAGTGCAGGTCAGAAGGGCTGAATAACCCTTTCCAGTTCCTGTGTGTACTGGCCTGGAGGAACCCAGCACATTTAAAGGAGTGAGAGATAGTAGGAACTGCAGATGCTGGAGAATCCGAGACAACAAGGTGCAGGGCTGGATGAACACAGCAGGCCAAGCAGCATCATAGGAGCAGAGAGGCTGACGTTTCGGGCCTAGACCCTTCAAAGGAGTTCTCTCTTTCTCTTTGTATTAGCATTATGGGAAAAGAGAGCAGAACATACTGGAGGGACATATCAGGGTAATTTTGTCCACATCAGATCCTGTCAGCTGCCCTGTGATTGTCTCCAGGATTAAAATAATCTGAGGAAATGTTATCCGACGCATCAAGAAACAGTCTGTTTATTTACCAAATCTACAAAAGGAGCTTTGTTTCCATTGCATGATGCTTTTAGTTTGTTGATTAACATCTGGGTTAAATTTCTGCACTGTTTTATCCATCATTAATCTGTTTATTTTTAGAAATTTAATGACTGCATTGAAATAACACAAATGTGTTTACTAGCAAACTAAAAATAATTCACAGAGGAAATTAATCTCCAAAACATGCGCCGTGAGTGATTCCTGTCATGAAATAACCTGTTGTCACTTCCTTCCTATTTCCCTCTTATTGACTTTCTCCTTCCCTTTTTTTTCGCTTCTCCTTCTCCCTAATCTTCTTTCTCCTCCTTCCCACTCCTACTTCCATCCTCCCCTTTTCCCATGGCAACCTCTTAACCCTTCCCTTCCTCCCCGTCCCCTCTTTCTCTTCGGTCACTCATGTTCACAGTGAAATAGGTGTGGCCAAGAGGAATTCATGGTTCGGTGCAGGATCAGGTCCCATTCACATGGACGGTGTTCACTGTCGGGGCGACGAGGCTGCCTTGCTGCAATGTCGAAACAGCACATTAGCGAGTGGAGCCTGCAGACATGACAGTGATGCAGGGGTTGTGTGTGGACTTCCAGAAGGTAAAAGTCAGAAGTAAACACTTCGTGAAATTTAACAGGATTTGGTAAATGAAAAATGACATGATTGTTGCACGTTGTACATCCAGCTGGCGTCATTACTGAACAAGTCAGGTCCCAGTTGAAATCTGACTTGATAGATCTGACTTCATAGATCTGACTTGATAGATCTCTTGTTTTAACTTAACATGGTGGTCACTCACTGATACATGGGCACGTGGGGCTGCAGATTTTCTATAACAATAAAACAGAAGTTCTTTACACAATTCAACTTTTGGAGAGAGATCTTGAAGCGTTTAATATAATGGAGAATAGGGAGTGTACAAATCTGATCTGAGAATTTGCAAACAAAAACTTCACTTTGCACCTAATTGAACTGTCAGTCACCAAAAGATTGGTGGCTTTTATCTTCTGAAACCTTGGTTGTATCAGGGAGCTATGCAGCATAAAGGTGAGAGCTATTTACATGGTTACTTGAAACGGTTTGAAATTAATTCAAGAGTTGGAGTTAGCCATTAATCCCCTTGAACTTTTAGCTGGGCCATACTGAATTATATCTTAACACTATCAATTGGACTGGAAGGTTTAAGTAACAGGGAGACGCAGAATAGGCTAGGAGTTTTTTCCTTGGAGCATAGGAGACTAAGAGGTGACCTTATAGAGGTCTTTAAAATCATGATAGGCATAGATAAGGTAGATGGCCGACAGCTTTTCCCCATGGTGGGGGAATCTAAAACTAGACAGCATAGGTTTAAGGTGAGTGGGGAGAGATGCAAAAGGGTCCAGAGGGGAAATGTTTTCACACAGAGGGTAGTGAGTGTCTTGAACAGGCCGCCAGAGGTAGTGGTGGAAGTGAGTACAATTTTGTCATTTAATAAACATTTAAACAGGTACATGAATGGGATAGGTATGGAGGGATATGGATCAAACTCAGGTAAATGGGACTAGTTTAATTGTGAAAACTGGTCAGCATGGATGAGTTGTACTGAAGAGCCTGTTTCCATGCTATAGACCTCTATGACTCTCTGACTCTAAAAGGAAAAAAATGAAAAAAGAGCTAGCCAAACTAGCTAAATACAGAAATGCAGTTTGAGAGATCTTAAAACACGCATCAAAGCAAAGTCTCATGTGTCACCCAGCAACATCACTTTACAATAATGCAACTCCAGGGAAATCTTTAGGTTGATTTAACTGCTTTGCTGCGGTTCTGTCCTGTGAAATGTGAAGTCTTCTTACATGAATACTCACAACACTGAAAGCTCAAACATTCTCAGTCTTTTAATAATCTGCAGATTTATAACCAAACACACTTGGTCTGGAACTTTCACAAGTGAAACTTTTACATGGTAATTGACCTTTCCCTGAACTATCCCATACTCTTTTCTACATCTCCTCCAAAACTATTGTAAAAGATTTCAGTCTCTGGGTTTTCTAAGCTAAAAATCAACCCTTGGTTATTTTAAACTAAAAGCATGCTACTGCCTTCAATGTTTACATTCCCTGTGATAAACCCCATAGGACAAAGAGTCTTCCATTAACACTCCAGGGGGTTTGAAGCATCTGCTGTCTATCACAGAGATAGTAGGAACTGCCGATGCTGGAGTCTACATGGTAATTGACCTTTCCCTGAACTATCCCATACTCTTTTCTACATCTC